ATTATCTTGCCATTAGATAGGTAGAAGAACAGGCTCAAAATAGGGACTTAGAACTCAATTATTCTTTTGCACCAAAGAGCATAGGAGAGAAAAAGTCAGTAGTGACTTTCAAAACAATTGATAAATTTAATGTTTCCCATGATTCTTTCTATAACGTCAGAGTAGACCATGAACTTTTAAACTTCTCCATGCCAAATAACCCAGTTCTGTTTACCATGTTCCAGTGAGCTTTGCCAGTAGTCGCTGACATTAAAAAGAGCAAGAACCACTGTAGACTGCAACCACTTAACTGATCAAGCAGAAGCTCTAGAAGGTTACTGGAATCACTGGTTCAGAATCTGGCCTTCAATTTCACAGACACAGCTATGTATGTGCTTTCCTCTGTGCATGCACAGATGGTCAAATTCACATGGAATGACACACTCTAGCACATCTATAAGTGGCTAAAGTATAAATTTAAAAGCCAATTTGATCATTTTCAGCAAGAAATAAAATCAGTAAATCCAACCAGATCATTTACACTAGATCTCTCCCATTCCCCACACTCTACAGCTCTCTTTTTGCATGAAGTTTATGTGAGTGTCAGATGGAGCTTTGTGTGATTCATCTCTTATGCCTTGATATAATCATGTCCTCTGTGAGGTCAGAATATTCACCTCTCAAAAGGCTTAGAGGGCTTCCTGGATGGTACAGGAAACATACCTTACAATTTTTAATCTTTGAAAAGTTTTTTTCCTAATCATATATGTTCATGATATTTTTTTTCTATGTGTGTGATGCAGATTATTGTCTTTTATCCACCTACATTCTTTCCTAGCATTGTAAATTAGTCAGTTTCATAATTCTCTTCCCTCTCTGACTTTTAAAGCATCTTGTAGGGTGGATAACTTTAGTAATTAGCTCCTTGTCAATCACTCTTTGCTGTTTATTGCTTGCATAAATGATAGTTAATATTGTATCTCTAGTCTGGGGTCATGTTCCATTTAGGACAGTATGACCTGGTGTGCTGACCATGTCGTGTTGCAGAAGCTATGTTCTTTGCAGTGTCTGTAGTACAGTTACATTTAGACACTTCTACTTTAAGGTGGTATCAGCGAATTAAATAAAAGGAGCCAAAAGAAGCTGAAAAATTTGCTATTGTGTTTGAAAACAGAACTAATTATTTTTAAAAGCAGCAATGAAAGCCTTGTTCTCCTCCTGCTTTTTCTTCCCCTTGACCTCACAGTGGCACAGTGAACACTGCACTCTGTGGGGACACAAAGTAGAGTTCAGTCATTCTGCAGAGGGCACAAATTACTAGTTAGGTATCTCGGGGAGCTTTCAGATTCCCTAAGGCAGAGGTGCTGAGTGAATTTCATGTGTTTTTTTCCTAAGCTTGAAGGATGTAGATTCTATTTTATGGCTTCATTTTGTGATGTTAGTCAAATTGAGTCCTGGAGGCAGGAAATTACCCATAAAGTCCATTCTAGTGATCTGATTGAATCATCAGAAAAGAGCTGTGGGTGGCTTCCAAGTTCAGGAAAGCTGCACTTAAAATATCCCCATAAGAGTGATCTTACTGTATTTCAAAGCCTTCCTGTTAGATGCATTCCACAGGCTTCTGGATCCCGTTGTTTTTACAATACTATTTATAATATGCAAATGCTAAAGCAAGCGTAAGCTCATGAGTGAATTAGAAACCCTAGTGCATAGGAAGCAGCACTAAACCTAGCACACTTTGATGATGCCAGCACAGCAAGAGGCCCAGGTGGAGAGCTTCTGTTGGCAACACCTAACACCAGTATCACCCCTAAATCCCTGGAAAATCACCTCAAAACTAGCTTAAGGGAATAGGATAACTTCATTTTATGGGGAAGGGTGGTACAATAGAGTCTCCCAGAATGTTGAAGAATTCTTCAGCTCATCTGAAAATATAAGACATAATTTATTAAAAGAAAATTTGTCTAATGTACCATCTAAAGGACAACTCAGAGATATATAACAATTAAAAATAATAATTCTTTTCAATGTCAGCATTGCAAGTGAGTCAGAATTGACTCTTAGCTGACCTTCCAGTGGGTTTCGGAAGTTGTAAGAAGTATGGGAGGATAGCCACTCTCTCTCAATCAGAATTGCCAATGGATTTGAACCACCAGATAAGGGCAGCGTTTAAGTTAGCAGTGCAAGTCCCTATCGACAGTGCCACAACGGTTCCTTTATTTTAAATGAGTATGTTAAACACGTTTCTTCCTTATACATAAACTTATATTCTAGGAAAAGAAGGCTTTATGTGTGTCATTTTTATGAGGTGGATGAAAAAGAGGTTGAAGGTTATCACCCAAACACCAGAGCCTCTCTTCTGTTGTAAGGTGATGACAGATGAGGTTGTCAGATCCAGTCGTAGATTATGAGGCAGCTTGCTGGATTCTGCCTTCTCCAGTGATCTTTTACATTTTTACAAATTCCCCTCAGTTTTGAGACGATGTAAGCATACGGTTAGGAATCAGATCAGAGCTTTTAAATCAGAGATGGAAATTGTCTCTGCTGCCAGGAGTATAAGTATGTTGCAGTGAACATATACATAAATAAATGTAAAAATTATGTACACGTTTGAAAGCATTTGCTTTCTGGCAGTCTCTCTGGAGTAGTGAAACAGTAGAGAGGAAAGAAAGTTGGAAAAGCCAAATAAATGCTTGTCCAAATGTCACCATTCTCTTACTCTGTATCTTCACTCTGCTTCCGTTTCTCATCATTGGAATGTAAGTTCCCTGAGGACAGGGCTTGCCATCTGCTTCTTGTTGTTTTTCATGATGTATCCCAGCCATTTATAAATTACTTTGTACATACTAGGCCCTCAATTTATATTTATGGGATAAATAAATGTGTCAAATGAAATTAGTCATAGAAGCCTTTTTGTTATTTGGCTAGAATATCAAATTATTTGGGGAGTAGGAAACAAAAAAAGACAAGTAAGCTGGAACTCTCTGGGAAGAAGATATTTGTATAAATACAAAGTGATATTGTAGTCAACTTTCTTTCATTGCGTACACAGCCTTCCAAGATCAAAATCATCTTTAAAGCTGTCACAGTTGAAATCTACCAGAAGTTGTATGATATCATGTTGCAGGTTTGTGCAGCACTCTTAGAATGGGCTTCACTCTCTAGTTGTCATGTGGCTATGAATGTAGGCTCTGGATTAACCAATTCCGTTGTCACCACTAGTGTTATTTAACCTTTGGTGCCTGAGTTTTCTCAAAATAGTTAAAAATCAAATGAGAAAACCAAACCTGCTTCTATCAAATTGATTCAGATGTATAGCATCCCAGTAGGACAGAGTAGAACTGCCCCGTAAGGTTTCGAAAGACTGTGTGTAATCTTTCTAGATGTGAACTAACACGTCTTCCCCGATAGACAAGCACTGGGCTCAAAGTAGTGATTTTTTTTTCATTAATAGATGAGTGCTTTAATCCACATCACCAGGACTTTAAAAATAAATGTTTCAGTTGTTGTTAAGTGTCATTGAGTTGAGTACAAATGAAACCAACCCTAAGAACAAAAAGACCTGAGCGCTGTTCTATTCTCAAGTGTTCATAGAGTTCTCAAAGACCTGTTATTTAAGAAGTGGGTGTCAATCCTGCTTCCAAGTAATAACTACTGAAGGATTTGTTGTGAGGATAAAATGTGATCATTCATATAAAGGTCTTCACGTTGTACAGAACACAGTATAATCAAAAACAAACCAACCACCTCACTACTGTGAGTAAATGCCAACTCATAGCAACCCTTCAGTGAGTTTCACATAAATCCTATTGGGAAAAGAGGGCATCATTTTTCTTCAGCTGAGTTCCGACTGTTTACCTTTTGATGCAGAGCGCAACACTTAACCTACTGTACAACCAGAGCTCCTTCTTAGCAGCCAGAGCATTCTGTAATTGTTGCTGTTGTTGTTAAGTGAGGTCCAGTCTGTTTTGACTCATCGTGATCCTATGAGCAACAGATATGAACCTTGCTCTCTCCTGTCCCACCCACCCTTTCACTCTCTGCTCTGTTTAAGCCCATTGTTACAGTGACTCTGTCAGTTCACCTCATTTTAGGTCTTCATGTCTTTTTCTAGGAACTAATCCCTCTTGACAAATATGCCCAAAGTATGTGAGCCAAAATGTCACCATCCTTCCCTCTAAGGAAGATCCTGGTTGCACTTTCTCTAAGACAGACTTATTTCCTCTTGGCAGTCCATGGGATGATCAGTATTCTTTCCAACATCACAATTCTAAGGCATAGATTCTTCTTCTGTCATCCTTATTCATTGTCTTACCTTTCAGATGCATAGGAAGCAACTGAAAAATACCCTGGCTTGGGTCATACCTTAGGTTTTATGCTAATATCCTTGCTCTTTAGAACTTTAGGAGATCTTTGACAGTAGATTTTCCCTATAAACGTCTTTTAATTTTTTGACTGCAGCTAACATGGCTGTTGATTGTGGATTCAAGTAAAAGTAAATCGCTGCCAGCTTTAAATATCAACTTCTCTTATTTTAGCCACTCTTCTTCTCAGTTGTCTCTTTCTGTCTTTCTATTTGAGCATGATTATCAATCTCTTCTATGCAGTGAATCATTTTCTACCTATATGAGAGAAGCATTGTGTAGTATAGCACCCACTTTGAGAGATCTTAGCTTTAAGTGTTAGCTCTACCACTAAAACTGCATCCAGATATGCCATTAAAATTCTCCAAACCCTGGCTTAAAATAAAATTACTGAGCTTGATAATATCTACAGTGCTTTCAGCTCCAAATGGTCATCGTTAAAATGTGAAAGTGGAGACTACGAAAGACAGTGGTTGGATGCTCAAAAGTCATAAAACGAAATGTGTACGAATGGTTGAATGGGAAACCAATTGGCTTTATAAGCTTTCACTCAAATCACACACACACACACACACACACACACACACACACACACACACACAAAAGGAATAAAAGCGCCATCTGAGGTATACATTGAATTCTTTCTTTTCCTTTCAGCTTCCTCTATCCTCAAGAGGGAGAAGCGGCTGAGGACAAAGAATGTGCATTTCAGCTGTGTCACTGTGTACTACTTTACCAGGAGGCAAGGCTTCACCAGCGTGCCCAGTCAGGGGGGCAGCACGCTGGGCATGTCCAGCCGTCACAACAGCGTGCGCCAGTACACACTTGGTGAATTTGCCCGGGAGCAGGAGCGGCTTCACCGGGAGATGTTGAGGGAACACCTCAGGGAAGAAAAACTGAACTCCTTAAAATTGAAGGTAAGGAACATTAAAACTCCCCCTCCACCCCAATCTCTCTTTTTCTCTCATTCTGTTTGAATTCACCACTTTCGTTTTCATCTTAACAAACCTAGCTGGGCATTTTTAGACCACAGACTTCCTGCTGAGCCCTTTGTTGTTCCTTAAAGCAAAATAGCATGATCTTTTCAGAAACCAATGCCATCATTCATTTATTATTACTAGATTGTAGACCTTACGCTAGGTCTGAGGCAAACTGGTGAGTGAAAATAGATGTGGTATCTTTTCTACTGTAACTTGCAGATTGTTACTGTGAGGAGTCATCGAGTTGATTGACTCTGACGCATAAAGACCCTACGTACAATAGAACGAAACACTGCCTGGTCCTCCCTGTCTTCAGAATCATTGCTCTCTTTGTGCTCGCTGAGCTGCCGTGTCAGTTTATCTCATTGAGGGTCTTCCACCTTTTCACTGACCAAACTCTTTACCAAACATGAGGTTCTTCTCCAGGGACTGGCCCTTCCTGATAACATGTCCAAAATATACGAGATGAAGTTTCACCATCCTTGCATCTGAGGAATTTCATAGGGATACATAATTTGAAAAGTTAAATAAAATTGTATCTCTATTAAATGCTATGGAGAATGCTACCCAAGCGTGTAACAAGGGAGTTGTATGGGGCTATGCGTAACACAGTCCAGGAGGCCATGTAAACTTCCTGTAAGTAGTGATGATTGAACAGAAATCTTCAAAGGTAAATAGCTAAGAGTGCTTCCAGGAGTGTTTCAGACCTTCTGGCAAACAAAGGGTAATATGGCTGGAGCAAGGACAAGTGTGGAGAAATGAGAAGGATATGTTAAGATAAATTTTCCCCCCTTCATCCTAAAGCCAAGAGGAGACAGCTACGAGTTATAACTTCTTGTTCAGGATAGCAAGATCATATAATACAGTCCATGCATGAGAATAGTTTTAGAGTCAGAGCATTCATGTACGGGGTGGTGAGTGGCAAACATACAAAGCTGTGGAGGTAGACCACTTAGGAGATGATTACAATAACCAGGAGAGAGATGATAGTCATTAGATTAGATGGATGGTGGTGTTATTGTTGTTGATGATTGCCTTTGAGTTGAGCATGACTCATAGTGACCTTATGAACAAAAGGCCTGAGGCCTTTCTCTAATCATTGACATTTATCAAAGTTCAGAGTTTCTAGAGGCATGTTGTTTAGGAAGTGGATGCCACTCCTGCTTCCAATCTGAAAGATTAAGTGTTGCAATTTTGACCCTAACAAAAGCTAGGAGAGTGTAAGTCATACAGCATTGTCTGCATATACAGAAAAGATAAGCCTAACATAAAGATAGATGGACAGTGGGTGAAACTTAGGAAATAAAATAACGGTGTTTAATTGGTTAGATTTGAGAGGGAAGAGGGAAACTGCTGAGAGTGACTCTAAATTCCTGGCTTGCAAAAGTGAACAGGTTGTGACAGAGAGTATCACTTCCTTTGATAAGGAACACAGGAAGAGGAGCAGGTTGTGTGTGTGGAGGGGGAGAAGAATGAGACTACTTTTAAACACGCTGAGTTTGAGGGGCCTTTGAGTTACCAGAGAATTTTCAGGAAAGTGTCCATGTGGAGATACTCACTCATATCACATAAGAGATTAAGTGGAATGAAATACAGCATAGAATAATTGTAAGAAACACTCTCTAATTGTATTGTTCCATTACTATACTAGTACATGGAAAATACTCTCCATTATTATTTAATGACAAAGGAAGTTCTTCCTGTGTAACCAAAGTACTTAACATCATCTGTTAAAGGGTGAAGTGCTATAAACACATCTGTATTACATTCATGTTTAATTTCCATGAAAAAGTCAATTTGAAGAGGTGTCATGTGTTTCAAAACATCTTGGGGTTTTTTTTTTTAGGTATTGTACAGTTGTGTGTGTGTGTGTGTGTGTGTGTGTGTGTGTGTGATATTCCCAATTGCATCACAAGTCAGTCATTTAAATTAAGCTGGAAACAACCTGCCTCTTTAGTATATCTCTTATTTCCCTGGAACTTTTCCCAACAGGTTTCATTTAAAGGTCCATAAAACTTTGAGGTGTCAGCCTACTGCTATTGAGGATGGTTGCTTTACATCTTGTTTAGTTCAATAATAATTTTCCAATTGGTTTCTGACATCCAGCTCTCTCTACTTTCATAACTTACTACAAACAATTTCTGCGCCCCCCTCCCAGCTGTGGTGGCACAATGCATAGGATGTCAGGCTGCTAACTAAAAGGTAAGTGGTTTGAATCCACAAGCTCATCCCATAAAAATTTACAGCTTCAGAAACACAATGAAGGGTTTGTACGAGCTATTTAAAAACTTAAGTCATTTTCTGACCTCAAGTATTAATTAGCTTCCAGGTATTAGTGATTGGTACTTGCCAGGCACATTGTAAACATTATTCAATTTAATCCTAACAAGACCCAGAGGGATAGGTAAATAATTAGATCGTGTTTACGGATGAGGGGGAAAGTGCATAAAGTTGTTAAATAATGGACTCACTCAGTAGAAAATTTACTATCTTGCCATTTTACTCCCTACTCTTAAATTAACTGATCATCCCCTATAGGCATTGAATAAGAAAATCTCAGTGCATACAGGCAGCCATCCCTTTCTGAGGTGTGCTAAGATGTGCACTGGCTTTGAACAGCTGGCAGACTGTAATTCTGTCTGAGGCACAAAAGATTTATTGTGGTGAACTTTGAGGCCCATCATACATGTGATAAATGTCAGGGAAACAGCGCACCTACAGCAATCTTCCTCCATACTAGACAGTGATATATTTTGTTACTGTGATTTGTATTCAGCTGCTTCTGTTCTTAAACAAGATGAGGGAGAAAGCAGAGAAAAGGGAGAAAGTAAAAATAAATACAGACAAAAAAGTAAAACCCCCTATAATAAAGCCAATTCTGACCCTTATAACCTTATAGGCTAGAATAGAACGGCTTCATAGAATTTCTTAAGCTGTAAAACTTTACAGATGACTGCTTTATCCTTTTTCTGAGAAGTGACTTGTGGATTCAAAACACCAACATTTTGGTTAAAACCCAGTGCCTCATCTCTATTTACTGACTCAGCTTTCTGTTGTGTTTAGTGTTAGAATGTAGATAGTGGCAGTTATCCAAGTCAGTGTCAGTTCTTTGCTTTTACTTATTGATATATAAAAACATATATCTTACGATTTGGGTGAAGGTGGCAGCAAAAGGCAGTTGGTGATCATTATTACCTCTAAATTACATAAAGCTGAAGAGTAATGAGATTCTGAGCAGGTCTGTTCTTCGCTTAACTGTATTAGAAGCATTCACAAATCTCAGAAGCACATGTCACATGGAGTTAATAAAAGCTCACAGCCACGTGTATCAGTTTGCTAAAGAAATTTGAGGAGAATTACCATATTTTTACACAAGTAACATGTGCCTTTTATAGGTTTTTGCCAAATGTGCCCTCCTCGCTGTGAGGTATTTTTAGAAACGTGCTATGCTATTATTTTTTACAGCAGTATGTAAAAATATTGGCACAATGGAACTTACAAAAATACCTTGTGGATGGAGGGTACAGTTGGCAGTACAGACACAGAGAATGCATGTTATTCATTGTGTAAAAATGCTGTAATAGATAAAACCATAATTTTGTACATTTATGCTGTCTTGAATATAAATGGGTACCTTGGAAACCTGACGGTAGCCTACATGCAATGAGTAGGAACTGGCACAATGTGAGTTTGAGTTTCTTTTGGGAGTAAGTGAAGTGGCATCTCATTGTGGTTTTTATTTTAATTTTTCTGACGACTAATAACATTAAACATCTTTACATGTATTCATTGGCTCATTGTCATATATCTTCTTTAGAATTAAGTCTATTTGACTTTGCCCAATTTTTAAAAAATTGTTGTTGCTGTTAAGTACCACCTAGTCAGAACTGACCCATAGCTGACCCTCCAGTGGGTTTTCAGAGGCACTAAAGCCCATGGGAGGAAATTGCCTGTCCTTCTCCAGTACAGCAGTTGGTCAGTTCAAACCCTGTGCCTTTGGGGTTGAAGCACAGCTTCTTACTACTTGGCCACCAGAGCTCCAGCAACATTTTTTTAATTAGGTAGTCAATATTTGTTCCCATTCCAAAGATGAGCCAACAGACTGCAGAAATGATCGAACAATATCATTAATATCACATGCAAGCTAGATTCTGCTGAAAATTATTCAAAAATGACTGGAGCAGCATGTCAATAGAGAACTGCCAGATGTGTAGACTGGGTCTAGAAGAGGCTGTTGTACTAAGGATATTATAGGTAATATAAGATGGATCTTGGCTGAAAGCAGAGAGTTCCAGAGGAGTGTCTATCTGTGTTTCATTGACTATGCAAGAGCTTTTGACTGTGTGGGTCACAACAAACTGTGGCTGACTCTGAGAAGAACGGTAATCCCAGAACATTTGATTGTACTTATGCAAAACCTGTACTTGAACCAAGAGGCAGTCATCAGAACAGAGGAAGGAGACACTGAATGATTCAAAATCGGGAAGGGTGTCTGCCAGGGATGTATTCTGTCCCCATGCCTTTTCAATTTGTGTGCAGAACAGATCATCCAGGGTGCTGAGCTGTGCAAGGAGGAATGTGGCGTAAGGATTGGAGGAAGATTCATCAACAACTTTTATTATGCAGATAACACAACCCTGCTTGCTGAAACTGAGGAGGACCTGAGGTGCTTGCTGCAGAAGGTCAAGGACTGAAGCCTTCAATATGGATTGAAGCTCGACATCAAGAAAAAGATTCTCACCACTGGGCCAATTGGCAGCATCATTATGGATGGTGAAGAGATCAAATTGTTAACAGTTATATTTTACTTTGCTCCACAATCAAGACTCTTGGTAACAGCAATCAGGGAATCAGGAGATGAATTGCATTGGGAAAGTCAGCTGTGAGGGACCTCTCTGGAGTATTGAAGAGCAGCTACATTAGACTGGTTTCTCAGG